CAGCTTAACTCCGACATCATTTCAAGGATTAGACGTGGGTGCCTTTTTAAACACACTTCTGTTATTCATTTTTAATCATCTAATCATCTTCCTCCCTTCAATCCATCACACCAAACTCTATACAAGAATCAGGCTTCAACGTTTGCTTAGGTTATCAGAAATGTCAACATGTTCGATATTAAGGTCAAATAAGGAATCTAAGTCATACATCTACTACTTTCTTATTATTTTCTCTCGTCTTTCGTTGCTAAAACTGTGTGGAAAGAATTAGAGTGTTTAAAAAAAAACCTGCATTGCAGAACCACTCCAAAGTCTTAAGGGCGGTGACATGGCAGTGACACGCAGAAGTCATGTGCTTGTGAAAACTGTCAGGACACCCATTTTCAAAAAAGCTCCCTCCCTGTTACAAAGTGATTCACTATATGTCCAGTTTGTTTCACTACGGAGGAGAAGGGGGGAGACCATTGTTTACGGTAAGGCTTGTCCTTTAAGTGAGGGGTGTACATTTGTGAGAGGCCGCTCTCGCTGCAATTCAAGCTACTTCTTTGCATTAAGAAATCCCCAGACAACGATTATTAGGCACCGAGATGTGCCATCATATGGTATTGCAAGACTAGCCCGTATCGAAACCTAAGCAAGTATGGTAGTAAGGTGTAAGCAGTACGGTGTCTATATCAGCAGATATGATACAGGGTCTATGAAGAGAATTTAACCCCTTTGGACTTTGCACAATTAGGAATTTTTAGCAATTTTTATTGATATGTTAACATCTTAGTGGGCCAATAACAGATCCAGTTAACCAAAGGTCACATTATCAAACAGCGAGTGCTGCTAAAAACAGCCGAAGCGAGTCACAAGCAGTCATTTCTCTGAGCTCCAGGCTCCAGTTGTGTTCACAGCAAGTACTTTCATTCTCTGCTGGCCCGGCATAATGATTCTTTATTTCCAATGCAGTGGCAAATTATAGTGAGTGACACAATACGAAACATAACAAAAGTGACCATGGCGCTGCAATATCTGCACCCAGGTCTCTTAAACAATGACCCAGTGGTGTATTCAAGAACACTTCAAGAAGAAGTCGTCCACACCCAGACACTTACTGTCTTTTCCCTGTGTAGGCACTCGTAGAAGTCCTCAAACTCCACCTGGCACTCCTTCTTGGCGCGGGTCTGTCCGATGCCGCTGGAACATTCAATCCACTCCTTCTCAAAGGCATGGCAGCGTGCCGCTCTCTTGTGGGGCTGCTCTCCGCTCTGCCTTAGAATCCAGCGGTCCATGTTGATGCCGAACCGCGACTGCAGGTCCACGAAAGGCATGATGCTGATGATGGAGGAGTGGGGGAGGGACAGAGGAGAGGACGAAACAGGATGTAGTAGAGGAGACAAAGGGGGACACACAGATTAGGGCATGTTTATTACAGGAACCTCAGACACACAGGTCAATCATGGTGATTATAGAGCACCACGTTAATTAAACAAGAGTAAGACAGCAGTCTCCACTTGTGGCAGTATGAACAGAGTGGGAAATTAACAACAGCCACCAGCTGGTAAAATATATGAAGTGGCTGGTAGATTTCAGACACAAATTAATGGTTTATTATTGAGTCGGCTGGTGGATTTGAGCATTTATCTGTCAGTGGCTTTTAGATGTTCACATTTTAAGTCAAGTTAATTTCCCACCAAAGAGTACAAAGGAAAGTTTTGCATAAAATTCCTATTTTCAGCATTGTTTTGTTTAATTGTCTTGATTTCTTTTTTTCATTTCTTTGGTCTCTGGTTCTTCTTGTTAACATTATATTATATTACATGAGGGACTGACAAAGTGCTTGCAGCCCCAACCTTTCCCAACTGGGTTTAATAGGGGTAGGATGATTTACAATATTATCGTGTATGGCGATAAAAAAACACACATACATTTATCGTGGTACATTTCCAATATTGTGATAATCGTGGATCCTGATAGTCGTGAATATTCTCACATGGCTCGACTTAAAGAAGCGGTCTCTCTCACCAGCAGACACTCTTATATTGATTTCCCAATTTGTTTCCAACAAGGGGACCAGGGGGAGTCTGGATATTTCCA